TTTTGGAAGGCCAAACAAAGTAGTTTCGCTTTCACAATGAAACACAGGGTATTCACGACAGGGCGGCAGCAACAATACTACAGCGAGAATAAAAGTTATGCCTTCTTTCTTTGCGTGAACATTTGGGCGGCGTTATACAAATCTTCCCACATCGTGACGTAGACATGTGGGGGCGTGTTAGAACGAGTTGTTTTAGGTAGGCGTGGTTGACTCTTAACTTTTATAAAGAATATCTCTTTGGATTTGAGACTTTAGTCTTTGCAACTTTACAGATCTTCTTTATGCACCAAGAGCTTGTAACACTACAAAGAGAAAGGAAAAATTGAAATCGCATCATATGACCCCTTTAAATAAACACCTAAATTAAATAGAAAATATGTATGCAATTAAAAAAGCTATGGCAGAATGAGTAATAGGATTGCAAATTTAGCCTGTCACACATAGGGGCTACTTTATTTGGGACAAAATGTTGATTTTTGATTGATTGAAACCTATTTCTCATAAATTAAAGAAAAATATTTGCTTGATAATTTTTTTCTTATATAGAAAATATAACTTGGGTGAGAGGTGTGAAGATTTGTGTGAAAATTGAGAAATTAAATTGTATTGTTTACTTGTCTTTTCAAGTATCTTGCAGTAAAAGTCTTGCAATGCTGTCTTGTTTGACCTCATATTACATTTAGATAAAGATGCTACGTTATATAGAGAGCTCATAGGTCACTTTGTGATATAACGCATTCATTTCACGGAAATAAACTGTTTAAACGTATGTTTGAAGGTGCATGGTGGGCTGGCTTTGTTGACATGGATTCAAATCCTCCTTTTCTGTGCAGCCGAGAAAAGTCAACAGATGAACCGTCCTCAGATGAGCTCGAATGGCACTCTGTAAATACATTTGGCGCTATTGGAGATTTCCTGGCAATTGGGTCAGAGGATCACATAAATCAGATGTGAAATTTTAGAACAGCATGCTATAACCCAGCAGGTGACTTCTCCTTGACAGAAAGACTTGTCTCTTTCCTGTCCTGTTTATTTTGTGGTCTGCTGTTCTTAGTTTTAGTATTTGCAGGATTTGATTGGGTGTTCCATCTTAGAGGTATAAAAAGATGCTATGGAGTCTTGGGAACTATCCAGAAGACTCAGTCTCTGAATGAAGACTTTGGCTGCGGCGTGAAATTACTGTAGAAGTTGGAGAGGAGACCTTTTTATATGTCCTACTGTGCAACAGAAGTGCTTGATAAACAGTTTCTGCATGGAGCACTTGCACTGCTTTTTCCGGAGGTGTTCTGTCCTAGATAACCTTCCCAGAATGCCAGAGTGATTAAGCATTACCAGAATGTCTCTTTGGCCTCTGGAGGTTTAATTCAGGAAAGATTGATGGAGCCAGAGTTTGCTATGGAGTTACAACACTGATGACACGGGTGTGACCTTCAGCATTGTGTGGACAGGGCTGATGTGAATCTGACCTCCTGTGAAATTACTCACTGACTTGCCATTAGCATCAGCCCCTTACTTTCTGGCAGTGGGATTCTGGCTGGCAGGAGCAGATCAAGAGGGCACCGAACATTTTAAGAAATGTTCCATACAATGAAAGCCAATGTTGGACCCCATTGACTTTTATTGTATGGACAAAAACAATATCTTCTTTTGTATCCCATGAGAGAAACTAGGGCTGGACGATATGGCCAAAATTGATATCACGATATATTTCTTAATTTCGGTCGATACGATATAATTCCGATATCGATATGAACACTAACTATTTGCAAATAATATTTTAAATGCATGCACTTTTATTTGTATGCCTAACATATCAAAAAGGCAAAACGTTTCTAGTCTCATCACCTTCAGTTAGGAATTACATGAATTGCGTAAATTATACCATATTTTCAATTCAAAACGGCGAAATGTGAGGAAAAAAGGTCCCTTTCAATGTCTGTGGTAGTTACTGCCCTGATTGTGACATGCTGTGACAAAACCATGTGAAATTTAGCTTGCGTAGCTATAAGAATTTGTGCGAAAGTGCTTGCGTAGGATCTTTTTCAAGTCTTGCATTTGACACATTTCAGATCGCAACAGCACATTAAAACGCGTACTTGCGTAGAGTATGTTTCAATCTTATAAACTGCGTTCTTACACATTTCTGCAATCAAGTCCTCAAAAAAATGTTCTGTTGCTTGTTGTGATTTATGAAGAGATACACTCTCTACTAGGACTGTGCGATATTGAAGAAAAATGCGATATGCGATACCTTGTTAAAAAATGCGATATTCGATATGCGATACGATATTGCTTAAAGTGTGTAAAATCAATTTAAATGATATTTTAAAATATTTAAAAATGAAAATTATATAACCAATTTGTTTCACATTCTTTCTTGGAAAATAACGAATCACTATTACTTCTGAAAGTGACCAGCAGCGTTTTAGCATTACATAAAAAGTAATGTCACAAATCAGAAAATGTAATTTAACATCAATGTGAACATACAAAAAAGAAAAAAAGAAATACACAATTTACAAGCATAGATAAAATAAACAGTAGTATTCAGGTACAGAACTGTAATAATTAAGTGTAAAATAACACTGCATAGTGTTCACTGTTTGAATTAAATTTAGATTAATCTTTGTTATAGCCGTTTTGTTGTTTTGTTAACATTAGTGACATATTCAGCAGCACGTATTTATAGGCTGCTGTCCCTTTAAATCCGACTGCACGGATCCAGTATAATGATACACATCTGATTTCTTTCTCAGCTGTTTACATTAATTTAAAACATAACTGACTGCGTTTACGAGAATGGATTTAAGTAGCCTATTATTAAAATGATAATGATATCGCACGCTGTTGCGATATGCATATTGCGATATTTACATTTGCGATATTTCGATAATTTCGATATATCGTGCAGCTCTACTCTCTACTGTTCAAAACTTTGGGGTCAGTAGGATTTTTTTTTTTCTAATAAATTATATTCACTATTGTTCTAAAGTTTGGGGTCAATAAGATTTATTTATTATAAGGAAATGGATACTTGTATTCATCAAGGTTGCATTAAATTGATCAAAAGTGACAGTAAAGGCTTTTATAATGCTACAAAAGATTTCCATTTCAAATAAATACTGTTCTTTTGAACTTTATATTCATTAATGAATCGTAAAACAATGTATCAAAAATGTGAAGCAGCACAACTGTTTCCACATTCATACTATTAAGAAATGTTTCTTGTGCAGTAAATCTGCATATTAGAATGATTTCTGAAGGATCATGTCACAATGAAGACTGGAGTAATGAACATCACAGGAATAAATTACATTTTAAAATATATTACAATAGAAAACAGTTATTTTAAATTATAATAATATTTCACAGTATTACTGTTTTACTGTATTTTTAATCAAATAAATGCAGCCGTGGTGAACACAAGAGACTTCTTCCTGTGTATTTGTGTAGTGACAGCGGTTGAGGCTCTAGTTGGGAAATCTAAACTTTGCAGGAAGGGGCAACCCACAAACAACAGTTTCACTATTGTAGCATGGGACACTTGACTAAAGCACATCAATTATTAGCAGCCAGAGGCCTATCTTTACAGTTAGAGTGGCTGAATCCTTGTGACTAATATTTCACAGTATTACTGTTTTACTGTATTTTTAATCAAATAAATGCAGCCGTGGTGAACATAAGACACATCTTTCAAAAGCATTTAAAAACCAAACCATTAACCAATCCCAAATGTTTTAATGTTTGTGTAAATTGAATTGCTTTTATCCAGTGCTGTCAAACAATTAATCACATCCAAAATAAAAGTTTTTGTTATGCATGTGTACTTAATATTATGTATATATAAATACACACACATGCATGCATATATTTAAGAAAAATGTTTTGTTTATATATAAAATATTTATATTTATATATAATATAAATTATATATGAATATACAGTCAAACCAAAAATTATTCAGACACCAGATATAATTTTTTCTGTTTTTTTACTAGTGGGTGCAGGACACTATAGTTCATTTATGTAAGTGAGGATAGCAAAATAATGTAAACTGTGACATATTATACCCAAAAATTCTTGACTACCAGTAAATTGATAAAAATTTGGGACCAAAAATTATTCCGACACTTCGACCTGACCATGTTTTGCTTAAAGGTGCTGTATGTAGGATTGACACCAAGTGGTTGAACTTATGGAGCCAGATCGGCCTCAAAAATAATACATTTATAAAACAAAATTCATAAATGCACAGCAAAATTTACATTTACAAAATCCGATTAATAAATTCAAAACACAATTCATAAATACAGAAGTAAAAGCATAAATATTTCCCCAAATGCTCACACAAAAGCATCTTACCTAAATAAATTTAAAATGTTTACACAAATATGTATATATCAAGTTCTTGAATTAATTTCCATCACACATTTATGAATGATGTTACATGTATTTATGGATCGTTGAATCTGCATTTGCAAATCATCACACATG